TGGGTCCCTGCTGGAGGAGCAGTGGCCCGACTTCCAGAAAGTGGTCGCTTTTCTGTTCAGAGTGTTGTTACTATTCTTCTCTTCGATCTCCTGTTGAGTTCGTAGGTGTTCAGAATGCTTTGATCCCTATTCAGCTGAATTCCTGAGACCAGACGAAATCCAGGTCTCCTACTCCTCTGCCATCTTGCTCCGCCTCTTGATATATTCTTTTTAGCTGAAGTCCGTATTTTATTCAGGTTCCCTCTGTTCTACGTTTTCTCATTCCAGGATCCCATGCAGGGCACAACGTGATATGTGCTCATCAGTGGACCATAGGTGAAGGGGTTTATTTCTGGGCTCTCCGTTAAATCCCACTGATCTGTATGCATATCTTTTTTAAAAAATATATTTTATTTATTTATTTTTAAAAATGTTTTAAATTTAAATTCAATTAACGTATAATGTATTATTTGTTTCAGGGTGAATGCATACATTTATGACAGTATCAAAATGTTTTCTTTACTGTTGCTTTGTATTAATATTTGAACTTTGGAAGAATGACCTTTCACCTTTGATTTTCTTTTTCAAGATTGTTTTGGCTATTTTGTGGTCCCTTGAAATTCCATATGACTGTTAGGATTAGCTTGTGCAGTTCTTTCCAAAGGCCTTTGTGAATTTTCTTGGGAACACATTGAATTTCCACATTGCATTGTGTACTATTGCCATCTTATCAATAGTATGTCTTTTCATCACCGTGGGGTCCTCAGATTTATTGAGGTTTCCCTTTCTTTCAGCAATGTTTTGTCATTTTCAGCGTACAAGACTCGCACCTTGATTACATCTATTCCTAAGTATTTTGTCGATGTTAATGTTCCCTAAAATGGAATTGTTTTCTTAAATTATTTTTTGGATGATTCATGGCTAATGTATACAAATAAGACAGATTCTTGCGTATTGATATTAACTGGCTGTAATCATTTTTTGTTGATTGTTTAGGAAGCTCTGTCTATAAGATGATGTCATCTCTGGTCTCTGAATAGACCTAGTTCTACTGTTTTCTTCCACATGTGGATTTCTTGCCTTATCATTCTGGGTAGAACTTTCAGTACGATACTGAGCAATGAGTGAAAGCCAGCATGATGGCTTTTTTGATTTTGATTTCAGAGTAGAGCTGTCAGTCCTCAAAATTGAGCATGATGTTTGATTAGAGTTAGGGTTGGGGTTAGGGTTAGGGGTTAGGGTTAAGGGTTAGGGTTAGGGTAGGTGACCCTGTGACCCATGAAGCCCCACAGTCAGCGTGCTGGAGCCAGGAACACTCCCCCTGTGCTGAGCTCCCGGGCAAACCCTGCACGTCCCCTCCCCTGGCTGACCCCCTGCAGGTTCTGTCCCCACCTGCCATGAGTTGAGCACCTTTGGGCACAGCTTTTGTTTCTATGCCCTACAGACTGGGTGGAATCAGCTGCCTCTAAGCCGCAGGCTCCCCTTTGTAAGATGGGGTCCTGAAGGCTCCCATCTCTGGGAGTGGAAGGGAGGGAGGCCCCACCAGCAGACACGCTCAGACCAGGCCAGGAGGGTGGCTGTTGCTTAAAGCAGCCCAGGGCCTGCCCCCTTGAAGAAATGCACATGTTCACGGCCCAAGTTTTGGGGTCCTGCCGCCAGCCTCTGGCAGTGACCCTCCTCCAGCCCTGTCCCCTGACCGTGTGGATACATGGTCTTCCTGGAGCTGTTCCTGCAGACAGTTGAGAAGCGCTTCATGGTGGGACACAGGTTCACCTACTACATATTCACCAATCAGTTGCCTGCCGAGCCCCATGTGCCCCTCCGGGAAGGCCGGATGGTGGTGGTCCTCGAGGTCCCCGGCACCCCGTGC